CTTTATCGTTGGAACTTAAAAGTTGTAAGTCTCTAGAAATAAATTTATAAATCATTGAAAAAATACATCTGCCAAAAAATATCGCTTACACCGTATGTAGAATTCATATATTTTTTGAAAAGTTCATATATATATATTGAGATGAAACCAGATTAATGGGATAAAAGTAAAATTTAAATTTAAATCGTTATGTAAAAGGCAAAGTGGCAAAATTAATGGTTGGAATATTATTTTAAAATTTATGATTGAGTTGATTATCATATTAGTAAATAGATAGAAAATAAGTTAGAATAAGAGGTAATAAATGATATTAAAAATAAAAGACGATTTGTAGATGAATTAAAATATATGTCAGAAAAGTGTCAAATTTAAAGTAGAATACACAAGGATTATGTAGTTATTAGAAAGGGCAAATAATATGAGAAAATAAAAAAATATTTTGAAGTATAAGATAAAATTGAATGTAAAGAAAGTAGAATAAGGTGTATAAGTGAATAAGAGAAAGTGAAGTGAAGTGAATTATAAGGGGAAAAGGACACGTTCAAAGATATGTGGAAAGGCCTTTAGAGAAAAAAAAGAAAAAATCAAGATAGTAAAAAAAGAAGAGGATTTATTGATTAGTTACAAAAGAATTTTGAAAACGACAGTTGTTAAAAGTAAGAGAAGAAAACAGAGAGAAATAGAAGCAGTTAAGAAGCAAGAAAAGGGAAAAAAATTCAAATAGGAGAAAACAAGGAATTAAAATAATCAATTGGAGAAATAAGGTATTTACAAAATTCGAGACAAGCGGATCCTCCACAAACCAGTCCCAGGGAGATATAAGGAAAGCAGAACAACAGTAACAGAGTCCATAAACCAGTAGGAAAGTCAAGAAAATAGGAAGTAAACAGCATATCATTGGCAGAGGAAAGAATCTAGATAACAAAGTAAAGGAGAGAAGTTATTCAACACATCTTTAACGATTATAAGTATAAAAGGTACCTTTCATAATAAAACAAAATCGTATACGATATATAATACAGAAAACAAAAATTAATATAAAACGTTTAGTAAATCACCAATTCACTATTAAGTAAATTTATCTAATCACTTCATGTCTATTTAAGACTGGCCAAGTCTTTGTAGAATTAAATATTAATAGTAAAGAAAATTAATAAGTATTAAACAAGAAGTTATTACTACAGTGTCTTAAAGTATGCAACCAGTATTGCATGAAATGTAAGTTAATGATATTATCAATATAACTTCTTGTATAAGGCTTTATAAACATTGTAAAATACTTCAAAATATATTGACTAGTGTGTTTAAGAGGGTAGAGTGACAAATTTTGACATATATAAAAAATTTATAATAAATACATTTATTACTAAACCTTTTGTTTTTGTAGCTGTGCTTGGTGTGGTTTCTTGATAGAACATAGAACCGACTACGGAGATAGAGTCTAGAGCTAGATAGGGCAAAGATAGACAA